CCAAAATTTTACTTTGGCCATAAGTTGTGAACAGTATATACTAGGACTTTCTTACTTCACATATGTATTCTTTGTGACAAGACCTTCCATTGGATACCAACAACTTTGACCTTGGAGATTTATGTACTTGAATAAAAACTTTAACCTCGGTCATAACTTTTGAACGGTTAGGGCTTTCATACTTCTCATATGTAATCCTTGGTAAAGACCTTTCATGGGAGCTTTGACCCTTTGACTTTGGAGTTTGACTTTCTTAAAACTTTAACCTTGAACATAACTTTTGAACAGTTAGGGCTAGAACTTTAATTCTTCACATATTTAATCCTTGTAAAAAGGCCTTTCTTTAAAAACAAACAACTCTGGCCTTGTGCATGGTCTTGACCCTGGAGTTTGCCCTACCTTTCAATAACTTATCTTTGGCCATAACTTTTGAACAGGTGGTGCTGTAGCTTGAAATCATATTTAAGAATTGTATTTCTTGTGAAAAGACCTTGGGTACCAACATATCTAATTTGCATTAAGAAAAGTGTGATCTCCGCTATGTTTCACAAACACATCTTCGAAAATGACACTCATATACCTGTATGTAAACGCATTTAAAATAAATTAGGAATAAGCACATGTATTGCAACAAAGGTTTTGCACAATATCTTATTAAAATTAAATTCTCATTATGTTTCAAAATATTCATTAAACTCTTTCAACAAGAAGTTCCACAAAGGGCTCAATTAACACGCAAAACGAAAGTAAATAGGCCTAATAATAATAATGGATTTTTAAACTAAAGTTTGAAAAAAAATCAAACTAATTAAAGTTGTAGATTCTACAGATTTTTTTTATATTAAACATATATAGGCTAGCATCAACTCTGTGAAACTTTTTCATAAATGTGGGCATATCGACAGTTTCAGTTTCACAATTACTTAAGAAACAGAAAAAAAATCAACAATCATTTAAAGATAAAAAAACCCCTTAATTTTTACTCTTATGTGTAACTAAAATATTCATACAATCCAGGATTTACCTTTTTAACCTTTAAACCATCGCCTTTTGCATGTAAAGAATGCTTTTTCATTCGGAATAGCACTGGTTCTCTGCCCTTGATTCCAGTCGCTGCCGCTAGGAATTACAAGTTGGTTTTTTAGAGCGCTTGTGCCCGTTAACCAATGTCAGGGTACCAGTCTATCATTCGGAATAACTCCCTTCTCGGAAGTTCAAATTATGAATTTAATTTTAGCACGTAAAATTCCCTTCTAAAAATACATACATAATGTAGAATTTATGGCGAGACATTCAAGCCAAAAGAATCATTTTGTTGGGTTTTGTCTGATGTGATGCGTGCGTCATAAATTTTAAAAAATATACAATACAGGTAACATAGAGTAAGGATTAATAATTAGGCTTACATAATTACATGCACGTCAGGCCCCTAGAAAGCATTTTCAGTTGGGGGCAAAATATTTTCAGGCAGGGACACTATCAACTACCAAAAATTCCTTCCCAAGAAAAAAAAGTCATCATATCAGTCTGGACTTTTTTTAATTGAGGAGACACGAAAGTATGGTGACTATGTTTTCAATAGTATACTACAGTCGTTAGGCCAGTTCCGAATTTTGACCAGTTCCGAATAATTCTTTAATTTAAGGGTTGATAATTAATACATTCAAAGGTGTAAAAATAGATTGATACCTATGGTACGAAGGCATATTTATGAGTGTTTGAATTATGCGAAGTTTTGATTTTTTTGCCGTCAGTTCGTTTTCGTTATCGTACTTGAAACAGTCGACATACTTTTACAATGCAACAAATATGAATCATCGCGACGCGTAAGTCTGCAGAGAAACCTCTGTAGAGACACTAATTTTTCACATAAATTTAACAACTTTAAATCCAGGTATCAAAAGTAAGTTTTATATGTACTCTAACAAATACTAAAAACTTGTCTGAAATAACTATTTAAAACACTGGAAGATATCGAAATATTTTCGTGTTGTCATTTTACTAGTTCCGAATACCCATTTTAAAAACTTTTATAAATTCATTCTTCGTTGTTTTCTTCATTGTTAATGTGACTTATTAATATACCCCTCCCTCCCCCTTGAAAAGCAGTGGGAAGTGGTATATAGTGTTTGGATGTTTGTCCATCTGTCCGTCTGTACGTCCGTCTGATACGCTTTGGGGTACCCATTTCTTATCCACAACTTCTACCACTGAATGAAATTTAATTAGGCTTCTCAGAATTCAATGAGATTTTCACAGAATCTTTGGTAAATAGTGCCAAAGTACACCTTCAATTTTTAGCTCACCTGAGCCGAAGGCTCAAGTGAGCTTTTCTGATCACATTTTGTCCGGCGTCCGTCTGTCCGTCTGTCTGTCCGTCTGTCTGTCTGTCCGTAAACTTTTCACATTTTTTTTCTCAAGAACCGCTGGGCCAAATTCAACCAAACTTGCCACAAAGCATCCTTGGGTAAAGGGGATCAAGTTTTTGAAGGGCCACGCCCTTTTCCAAGGGGAGATAATTATGAATTAGAGAAAAATTAATGGCATTTTTAAAAAATCTTCTTCTCAAGAACCACTGGGCCAGGAAAGATGAAACTCATGTGGAATCATCCTCAGGTAGTGTAGATTCAAGTTTGTTCAAATCATGACCCCCGGGGCTAGGGCAAGTTTTACATAGAAATATATAGGAAAAATCTTTAAAAATCTTCTTCTCAAGAACCACTGGGCCAGGAAAGATGAAACTCATGTGGAATCATCCTCAGGTAGTGTAGATTCAAATTTGTTCAAATCATGACCCCCGGGGGTAGGATGGGGCCCAAAATGGCCGACCCAAGTTTTACATAGAAATATACAGGAAAAATCTTTAAAAATCTTCTTCTCAAGAACCACTGGGCCAGGAAAGATGAAACTCATGTGGAATCATCTTCAGGTAGTGTAGATTCAAGTTTGTTCAAATCATGACCCCCGGGGCTAGGGTCAAGTTTTACATAGAAATATACAGGAAAAATCTTTAAAAATCTTCTTCTCAAGAACCACTGGGCCAGGAAAGATACTCATGTGGAATCATCCTCAAGTAGTGTTGATTTAAGTTTGTTCAAATCATGACCCCCGCGGGGTGGGTGTGGTCAAAATGGCCGATCACAGTTTTACAAGTATGTAGGAAGAATCTTTAAAAATCTTTCTTCTCAAGAACCACTGGGCCAGGAAAGATGAAACTCAGGTGGAATCATCCTCAGGTAGTGTAGATTCAAGTTTGTTCAAATCATGACCCCCGGGGCTAGGGTGGGGCCAAATTGGGACCCAAGTTTTACATAGGAATATATAGGAAAAATCTTTAAAAAAAGAACCACTGAGAAACTCATGTGGAATCATCCTCAGGTAGTGTAGATTACAGTTTGTTCAAATCATGACCCCCGGGGCTAGGGTGGGGCCAAAATGGCCGACCAAAGTTTTACATAGGGATTTATAGGGAAACCTTTTAAAATCATCTTTTCAAGTACTTCAAAGCTATGATTAGTGATATTAATATATCACTTATAGTGTAGATTCTAATTAATCAACTTTTAAACTTTCATTTCTGATCTGATATGTGCTTTTTCCAAGCCAATGTGCTAGTATGTGGCCCCTGGGCCTCTTGTTTTTTTGACCTCGCACATAATTTGGGCTCCTTAGCTTTACATTGATACTGCCATTCTTTCTAATATTGAAGCGTATATCCATCTCTTATCCGCAATTCCTCCATTCCACTGAATAAGATTTAATGATATCTTCATTCTTTATTACATTGTGCCATTGTACATATGACCTCTTAATTCCTCTTAATATACTTTTTGACACTTATTTCGGGTCTCCCAGAGCAAAACATGGACTTTGTCATGATAATCATATAGTAGGCGTTGAATATCATTAAAGTGAGCTCAGTGCTTACAGTTCCCCTAAGTTTCTCTTTACCCTTTGGAAATAGAAATAACTTATAGGTAAGCAATTAATTAAACTTTTCTTAGGCATACCAATGGATAGTATGTGGGGCGTATATTTTTTAATTTAGGGTTGAATTGAATGGGTACTGCTAGGGTATTCGGAACTCGTCGGCTTATTCGTAACTGGTAAAATGAATACCTTTGTTAACTTGCGAAATAAATTTTTTTTGGGGGGAAGACTGAACTTTTATAAAACAATATTTAATTCCACAAGTCATTGAACTACCTTGACAAAAAACTTAGATTTTGAAATAATGCCTCGTATATTTATGTAGCACCACCAAATCCGTTTCTTATTCGGAACTGGTCAGATAACTGTAAATATCAGCAAAATTATTGGAGGGGGGAAAGGCCCCCTCCCCCCATGCCCCAGTTCCTACGGTCATGTATGTTTCCTGCATGGTAAAAAGTCGAGTATCAAGATCTACGAATGTGTATCCATTTTTTTAAAAACACGATATCAACCTAAAGATTTGTTTGTGCTTTTAAGACTAAGTGTATAATTTAAACAAAATATCAACAATAACTAACATGGAGGTCCTGACACCATGTTAAAAAAATGTAATTGTTGATGATTGTACGGAGGTGTGACCTGAGGTCATTTGATGTCTCATGACCTGAGGTCATTTGATGTCACCTAAAATTGAATATTACATGTGGTTGATAACAACTCAATCATATCAATTCATGTGTCATTTATGTCCAGAGTTACTCAAAGTACAATACATTAATTTTAATTTTTCTTCTGAAAGAAACTTAATCATTTTGATCTGGCACTGCCCGGCATATCTTATAAACAGGAAAGTCGTGATGAAGTTCGGATCGTTTAGACGTTTGGGAATCTATTTGTCTTAATATCAAAGAAATAGTCTTGTTATCTGGGCGAATTTTTATACTACTTACTTAATACCCTACAAGTGCAACAATTATGCATAAAATCGTTTAGTTGTGTAACTGACAACACGTGCCCTAGTTTTAGGATCAAGGCAACGCGAGATAACTCTTAAATACTCTAAAAATTTGATTTTTACGTAACCACAATTTTTTAGATGATAGGAGTCGACAGAAAGTTGTTGCATCAATAACAAGGGCGAGGAAAACAATATTTAACAGGTAATTTCGTTTTTATGTTTTATTTTGATCGTTTATTAGGTTGATGTTCACTTTCACTAATTACTCGCATGCATATTTTATCATTCATTGTTCATGTTGTTTATATGATAGGTACATAGTACATAGGCAGTACACAACTGAGTGCTTTTCATGCTGTTAAAAAATTGACAACATGAAAATTTTTCTTGCAAGACCACAAGATTAATTTTATTTTATAAATGTATAGAAGAACTCTCAATCCCATTCTGCAACTCACATGTAGATCGGCACCAGTCCGAAATCGACTGGCTTATATATCTGGATATATGGACAATAAGTTATTGTATTTCAAGATAATTGGTAAATGTTACTTTGGAACAAAAAAAAAAATGTAAGATCAAAATAATCGATGATATCTACTAAGCAGTTGTTTAAGAAAAAGAAGAGCCCGACGAATTCATAATGAGATTAACTAAAAATACTCGACCTTGTGGGGTATCAAAAAAAAACAAACAAAAAAAACACTATGATAATTTGTACCTCACACTTTTCTTTTGAACAAACAGTTAACTCTAAAAAATAATAGTTATTTTAAGAATCTTTAAATGTTACTTTAAATAACACAAATAATTAAAAACATCTTTTTATATCTTTATTAGCGTGGGATTTTCTATATTACATTTATCAATTGTTTCAAGTAGGTCATATCTGTTAAAATAGAAATGAAAGAGACGGGCGAATTCATGATGGGTTTCTTTCTTCAGCTTTTCACATGCTTGACTTTGACGTGTGGTGTCAAAAAACTTTAAATCGCCGACACGCAAGGTTAAATGTGCATGGTACAGTGTATCTAGAACTTTGGGAGAGGTCAATGGGCATCATGTTTATACCTTCAAACATTTGCTTAAGATGTTTTTTAAAAGGGAATGTGTGTATTGCATCCCAGAGACCCATTTGACTCGTTTGATGAATTTCGTTTTCCAGACACAACAAGGGTATTTAACCACCGTGTAAAACATGTGTGTAAATTTATTCCTTTGGTTTTTATTGAACTTTCAAAAGATAATATATTATTTACACGATGATTTTCTGGAAAATGAATACTATTTTAAGGGGATATTATGGAACCCCTTGGGAAATTCTATGAAGTTTGGATAATGTTTTGTGAGAGATTATAGAACGTATGACATGTCTGCCTTATGGACAAAATCTAAGCCTCTGGACAGAACTAAACAGAAAGCTTTATTTTTTTTTTGTAGTGAACATGACTATACTAGGTAGTAAACTAAGTATGAATTTCCAGCCAAACCAGAAAACTTCGGACATAGTCGTAATATTGACCGTTCTGTCAGCCATCTTGGTTACCATGAAACTCATTCTTGGATGGCGGCGCAGACCGCCTGGTCCATGGGGACTTCCGGTTTTGGGTCATCTCCCTTTCCTTGGATCTCGGCCTCTGAACAAATTCAAACAGTACCAGAAAGAATATGGCGACGTTGTCTTTTTACGGTTTGGAACCTGGCCTACTGTTATAATCAGTGGAAAAGACACCGTAAAATCAACACTCGCCCTTGATACTTTTGCCTCGCGACCACCCTTCTTTTCAATAAAAAGTCTCAGCGACATGAAAGGTCTCAGTTTCTGTTTTTTCGATGAAAGATATTTGCTTCATCGAAAAATTGCCAGTAGTGTTGTAAGAGAATTTGGAGGTTCTGAAAATAGTGTTCTGAAAGACGCCCTGCGCGAAGAATCGAATATCTTAGTTTCCAGCTTTTTAGCAAAAATTGGACCATTTAACCCTAGTGAACTTCTATATGTTACGACAGGCAGTATCATCTTTCAGTTTTGTTATGGAAAAGGTGAGAATATTCGAGAGAATCCAGCGTTTCTGAAAGTCATGGAAGATCAAGCTATTTTCAAAGAGTTCTTCACTGCCGGAAATTACTTCGATGTTCTACCATGGTTGAGGTACATAATGCCTGGAAAATTTAAAAGATTTCTAGAACTAATTGACCACTTCCAGAAGGCCCGTAAGGAAATCGGCGCTCCGATAATGGACACATATGACCCGGCTCACCCTCGCCACGCCTTCGATGGTTTCTTAAACGCTTGCTTAAAGTACAATATAACAGATACACCAAGCGAAGAGGGACTGACCAAAACCCAACTTACTGAAACACTATTGGAAATATTTGGTGCTGGATTTGAAACAACTGCTTCAACTTTACGATGGGCTCTTATGTATTACGCAGAGTACCAAGACGTACAGATGAAAGTCCAAAAGGAAATTGACGAGAAGATAGGAAGAAACAAAGTCATATCTATAAAAGACCGACTTATTTTACCATACACCGAGGCAACTATTCTAGAGATCATGAGAGTAGCACCAGTTGTTCCCATGGCATTACCGCATATGACGACCACCGATGTGGTCCTGAAGGGAAACCTGATCGAGAAGGGGACGGTAGTTTTCTTCAACATTATGTCGCTTATGCACGACGACTACTGGGGCAATCCTAACGAGTTCCAACCGGAGCGATTTCTGGACGAAGATGGGTGTCTTCTAAAGGAAAAAGTCGATAACGTCCTGGCATTTGGCGCTGGAAGACGGATTTGTCTGGGCAAGATGATAGCCCAGGCGGAAATATTTTACCTGTTAGCTACGTTACTTCAGAACTGCAGGATTTGTAAACCTAAGAATGTGCAATACGACTTTGAAGGAGAGTATGGTCTTAGTTACTTTCCAAAGGAATATGAAATATGTGTTCAGTCAAGATAAAGTGGTTTTGAACAACTTTCTTATTTAACATTAATATCAATTTCGGACATTAAATTTTCGCCATAAATTTCATGTGCCTATGTTAACGTTTTATTTCGTTAATCTGTTTCATTGTGTATGTGTATCCGGTATATGTATGATTTCATTACTCAAATGCAGTGCAAATAAATGAAATAAAATATTTCTGTAAACTTTTTTTTTTCTTTTTTTTGAAAAAGTTGTGTGTACATGAATACATAATCTGCTTAAAATTATAAAATTTTGCATGGAAGTCAGCATGAATGATAAATGACTTAATTTATTGTATAAAATATCAATGAATTGTACATTTAAAAACACTGCCTATAAATAATTATACATGTACCTGACTTTGATTTATGCATAAAAAAATTACACATAGAATTTTGAAATAAATGTTTTGTATTTATTCTCAGAAGTTACTATGAAAACACATTTCTGTCCCTATCTAACATGACTAACAAGATAAGCTATCTCAACATGCAGCCACACAAGTTACTCTAAACTTTATTTTAGTTGAAATGACAAGCAGAAAATATGTTACATTCAAGTTTTAGAATTTCAAACTACTTAGTTTTCAATGCGCTAAATTCTGATACTTTAATGGAACAAATACAAGGCAAGTACTAGTACAGAAAATCTTGAGTTAAATGCCTGTAGACAATTTTCAAGTAAACAAAACATAAGCTGAAAATTCTTATTAGTCCATTTGAAACACGCTGAAAAAAATACAAAACAGAAAAAATCAATGTCTGCTTCAGTCGGAGAAGAAGTTATCCCTCTTAGGGTTGTGATTTCATAAGCTAAATGCATGACCTATTTTGATGTTCTAAAAACATTATTATAAGAATATGGCTTGCTCTTGATGTCTCATTGTCTTCAATTAGCTTGTGATACAATCAATGTCAGAGTAACTACTTCCTAGGTAAGAGTTTCATTTCTTCATACAATATTTCGTTTTTTGAAAGATGTTTTAAAAGCATGTAAAAGCTCTCTAAAAAAGATGAACAATTGAAGAGAATTAACAGTGATATTATATTTAAAACTGCATTCATTTGTATTGTGAAAACCTTAACAATTAGATATTTAAATAACTGTCAATTTAAATATCTTTTAAAGTTAATAATGATAGTGGATTACAACCTCTAAATGATGATAAAATGACTTGGGTAATTAACAAGTCGAATGGATAACATTGCATTTCTTTATTAATCTTTCCCTGTTGCTGTTGCAGCAAAAAATGCCCCACAATTGCGCCTGAAATTGGAAATTAGATTTCTTCCCAGTATAAGCACAATAGTGATGAAAAGTTTTTTTTTTTTTTCGATGTTTCAATCACTGTAATATAAGAGTAACTAAATAGGTACATATTTGTATGCCAGGGGACCATTATATATGAGTACAGGCGTGCCTTTACATAAATTACCATGTCGACTTTATATTTAAAGTGTGCTATTGCAAATACATTTATTTAATATGAAGTTGGTAATTTTCCTTCATGTCTTGAAAGTTTAATTTGCAATAATATTTTTATTGCAGTATCATACAATCTTATTTTATGAATCTCAGAGCAGGGCTGCTATCAAAACTTTGTTTATTTTATGTGTCAACCATACGATAGAGAATGTAGTAGTGGGGAGGGGGGGGCTAAAAGATGTAGTCAGCCGTTTAATTCATAATGCATTTAAGGTGAGAAAAGGTTACCTTTGGAAATAGTTTCTGCCTTTTCGGAACTAAAATATATAGTGTTATTTTGTTGCCATTTCTAAATTTACATTCATTTTCCTAGCATCCGTTTTCCAAATTATATATACTGGTAGGTACGTATACACACATTTTACTTTAACACACATTATTCATGCAGGAGAATGATTACCCCCCAGACCTTTATTAAATGGAGCATTTTAAATTTAATGTCTTATGAAACGCTGAAGTTCTGTTACATCACATTTCTTATACACGAAATAGGTAAACATGATTTCATAATTATTTCTTTTATAATAAATGGCCTTTTTGTTTGCAGATACAAAATGGAATTATTGGCAACCCTTTCATCACTGATACATAACCTAGACACACTGAAGTTCCTTGCAGTTTCTTTGATAGTGTTGGTCATCACTAAAATCGTAACCCAAAAATCACCATCAATTCCGGGACCATGGGGTTTTCCACTGATTGGTCACCTGCCTTTCCTTGGAAAAGATCCCATGAATCAATTTCAGCGTTACAGAAAACAATATGGCGACGTTTACAAAATAAATCTCGGTGTTTGGCCAACTGTAGTAATAAGTGGCTTTGATACAGTAAGAAAAGTCCTGAGTGAACAGTCTGACAGCTTTGCCGCCAAACCAGAATTTCATTCCTTCAAACATTTAACTAGGATGAGGGGTCTGACATTTGGATATTTTAATCAAAGGTATCTTCTACTCCGCAAAGTAGGGAGTTCTGTTGTTAGAGAATTCTCTGGGAAACAAAACAATCAAATGGAAGAAATTCTTCAAGACGAGGCAAACAGAATGGCAAGTGAGTTTCTCAAAGAAAGAGGAAAACCATTTAATCCGTACAAAGCCATCATGGAGGCAACTGGAAGCGTTATATATCAATTTTGTTATGGCAAAGGAGAAAATATAAGGGAAGATAAAGATTATGTTCGATTTATTCAGAATCACAAGGCATTCAAAGAAATCGCAAAGGCGGGAAACCCCACGGATGTTCTTCCTTGGACACGCTTCTTTTTCCGAAAAAGGCTGCAAAACTTTTATAAATTAACCAAAGAGGGCAAAGAGGCACGTGAAAAGAAAATAAATGAAATATCAAAAACATTTGATCCAAAGCATTTGCGGCATGCTGTAGATGGTTTAATATCAAATGCTATAAAATATGAGTTAAAGGATGAACCAAACGAAGCTGGGGTGATGAAAGCAGACGTGTTGGGTATTACTGGAGATTTTTTCGGAGCTGGGTTTGATACGGTAGCGACAACCCTTCTCTGGCTATTTCTCTACATGGCAGAATACCCAGAGATCCAATTAAAAGTCCAGAAAGAAATAGAAGACAATATTGGAGGAAGCGGTATAATAACTACGAAACACAGAGAAGCTATGCCTTTTACTGAGGCCACGATTTATGAGACAATGCGTTTATCGGGAGTGGTTCCATTGGGCCTTCCACACTATACAACGGAGGACGTCTGTGTTAAGGGCCATACTATAAGTAAGGGAACATTGGTCTTTTTCAATCATTACTCCGTAGGTCACGACGAGCAATGGGGCAATGCTTCCGAATTCGATCCCGAGAGATTCCTTGACTCTGAAGGGAAACTGCTTAAAGACAAAACGGAAAACGTTTTAGCTTTTAGTGCTGGGAGAAGACGGTGTCTCGGTGAGGTTCTAGCTCGGAATGAATTATTTCTTCTCTTTGCCACACTTCTGTTGAAGTGTGATATCAAAAAGCCAGAGAATGAAGAATACGATTTTGAAGGAATATTTAGTCTTACATACTCTCCAAAACCCTATAAAATCCGTGTCGTCTCAAAAGAGTTTTAAGTTTGATCTGAATATGCATATGAAAAGTGTTTTGCTATCAAAATGTATTATATTTAATTTTGTACTTTATTTCCCACTTTTTACATAGTTTCGTGTAACTTTCGTATGTATATGTACATACACTTTCAGAGTAGATCATACTGCATCTCATATATACATGTACATCGAAAATTTTCATTTTTGTATTTGTTAGGTACCTTTCATTTTCAGAGCGGTAATATCGCTATTTCATTAATCACTGGTTTGCCTTTAATATGTCAATTTATTGAAATATATTAAATGATGCACATATTCTCTTTGTTTATTTTTTTGGTGGTTGTGGGGGGAGGGGATCATGTCATATATATTTTAAGTAAACTGGTATATCAATTTGAACTTGAAATCTAAAGTTTCTTTTAATTTTAACAATATAACGGTAAACCCGAACTGGTAACATAATTGTATTTTCAAATTGAATTAGCAATAAGCCAATATTTATACCATTTTCTTTTTCTTTCCTCAATATTATCTATTATCACATCCATTTCTCTTAAAACTTTACCAATACGCAATTAATTCGAAAAAGAAAATGACAACACTCTTAAAAAAAAACACACCACAAACTTGTCAATAACTAAAGGCACGGTGTAGTACCTAAACGGCTGCTATCGGAACAAAACCGCGTTCAGTGTTGCTATTCGAAAATTGTACGGCTGCTAGCAGAAAGAAATATGTTGAAAACTCATAGAACAAGTTGTAAAACAATGAAATCATGACCCCAAATCAAGATAGTCTCAGAAAAGCCTGGGTGCACGGAACAAGTAAGGTAGATGTTGTCATGTGTAATGTGCAGAATAGCCCTGTAATTATTTAGAATTAGTAAAATTTCCGAACCCTGTACCAAATCTTAAGTTAATAAATACCCAGTTTTCATGCTTTTTTAAATCATGTATTATTCAGATTGTGGGTTTTTTGGAATTTGAAGATGCGTCAATCTATAATAATTCTTAGAAATAATTTAAAAAAATTGAAAAGTGTATTTTAATAGAGATTTTTGGACAAAACACGATTTTTTAAAGTTACGGTTGCTATCAGAGTCTTAGTATATATTGCACCGGTTAATAACTGAAAACATCGCATCGGCTGCTATTTGAAAATTTTCCTTATTAACAGAGATATGAAACAAACTTATGGCAGCAAATGTCTAAAATATACATTTTAAATATCCAAAATTGCATGTGAAATAAGATGTCTATATATGCAGTTGACTTTTACCAACTTCACTCAGGGGTGTAACTTCGATTTTGAAAAAAGTGGAGGGGGTAGAAAAATTCAAATCTATTTTTAAAAAAGCAGACATGGAAAAAAGGAAGATTGTCAAACTTCTTTCAGTGCCATTTTTTCTCACGCGCTACTGCCTACCCTTCTTTGACTATACTGCAATAAAAAAAGGGGCCTTCAATGAAAATTTTCAATATAGTAAAAGTTATGCTTGGATGAAAATCAACAGACCTTTCAATGAACATTTTAGAAAGTAAAGGTTATACTGGAACAAAATGTGGAGGTGGGGGGGGGGGGCGTCTGTAACTCGAATGTTTCGTATTTTTGCAAAGTACAGCTGATCTTCGAAAAGTATTGCTATACACAAATCAAAAGGAAAGCTTCACGAAAGGACTCGTAAATCAATTTGAAATAGCTTATAATATATTTTTACTCTCATTTACAATCATTTACAATCATTAATTTTCTTTAAAACCTTTCTTAAGTTAGAGTCTTTGGGGATTTTTGTAGCCTACATGTACACTTAAACATGTATGATATCTAGAAAAGTATAAGTATAAGCTTTGTCAAATATTTCTAATTCCATATTTCTTTTTCGAAGTACGGTGATGCATTGGTTCGCTGTACGACTAACAAAGCAATATTCAAAACATCGACCCCCCTTTCCCCATTAGGCTTTTAAGAGTTCTTTTAATTATATAGGCAAGAAAAGACAAGCCCCCCCCCCCCCGAAAGAAAGCGTGGTTTTTATATTGATGTTTTCCACTTCTTTTTACTTACTTCTTTTTACCGTCATATTTCTTGAAATTTGACTTAATATATTTTCATTAAATTTATAATTGTTGGACTCTGGGAGTTTTGGACACTACTGCAGCAAAGATTATTTTAAAAAAAATCGCAGAAAATTCTCTTAACAAAAAAGGGGAAAGAGGAGCAGAAACCCCCCCCCCCTTTTACCTTCAACGTGCTTTACTCGATGTACATGTACAGTATTTGAACGTCCTACATATACATAATAAATGTAAGCTCCTATGTACATACGTTATTGTCCACGTTTTACTCTTATGTACATTGTGCACTTTACATGTACTTGAGCAATTATCAACGTTGGACAGCAAAACTTTATAACTTTATAACTTTATGTGAGCTTTATTCATTTTTCAACATATTGAATTAGGCTTAGTCTCCAGCTGTTCCAAAGCCTATGTGTACAGGGTACATGTACACGTATACAAACTCCACTATTTACATCATACATATAAATATACGATTAATTTGTCATTATATGATCGAAAGTAACATACACGACAAGTCAATCATTAAGAAATAATATATATAGTTTTCTTAACTATAATTGCATAACATATGTAAATTGAGGACGTGATTTCATGAAATTTGAAAACTTAAACCTATTCCAATAGTAACCGGTGCCGTTATCTAATAGTAGCCGCAACATGAGATTCTCCTAACAAAAACGCTCTAACTTTTAAGAAACCCATCAAAGTGGACAATGATATAAAAAAAACCAATACTATTTACTAATACACAACGAACTGTTGATTCATTTTTATCAAATATCTAAAACTTCTGACGCAATTTTAAAATATTTCTCATGTGCATGTAAATGTGTCCAACGCTTTCGACAGTTTTCGTCTTATATATCAGCAATTCTTTAATTCATTAAAATTCTAAATATGCATGTTAGTTTCAAGATGTATGTAACGTTCCGTAAAGGTGAAATACCAAGCGGCTAAACTTTAATAATTGAATTATTGACCATTTTGTTGAGCCAGCGAAGAAAAATACTTACAATTTCGTCCATTTTTTTCCACTAGCAACCGCTCAATTTTCAGATAGCAGTAATGAACGAGCAATTTTTTCTGATAGCAAGCGTTTAGGTACTACACCGTGTAAAGGGAAACTATCACCAAGAGCAAACTTTAGCAGAGTATCAAAATGCACCAACATCAAGCGGGAGAATTAAATATAAATTTCGTGTAACAAATTGATAAAAATACAGTAATCTAAGTAAAAATAAATGTTAAACAAGTCTTAAATAACCAGAACATAATACAAGGTTACCAACTATACTCCCTCAGGCAATTATACTCATGTTGATTGTTCTATACTTTTAACAGATTATAATAAAAAAAAAGTCCTCAGCTCAAAGAATCATACTAATGCAAATTGCATACATTATAAACAAAATACTACATTGTAACTAATATCCCGGATCATCAATTATGCAACCTCAAAGATTCATTCCGATGCAAATTGTATTTACAGTACCGTCCGGACACAACCTAACACCACAGCAAACCCGAACCCCGAGTTTGCTTCCGGTTCGCTCGGGGTCCGCTTCCGGTTCACATTCAGAAATTTTGGGACCGCTGTGGGTGCGCTACGGGTTCGCTAAGCGTTCGCTCGTGGTCAGCTCTGGGTCCGTTAGAGAAACCGGCGCTCACTTTCTGGGATAGCTTTACGCGCTCATGCGTGAAGCGGACCAAACTTTAATCTAGCCACAAGTAAGCCATGTCCTGTGTATATTCCAATACAGTATCGGAATCGTGGAATCGATCATTGTTGGTTTTGCGGCGATCGATACATGTACACAAATTTGTAATTGGTTTCCTTCGTTTTTTCAGTTTCAATCCAATTTATTGCATAAAATATACATTTGTAAATTTTAAAACAATGCCTATAATTGATTATACATGTATTGAATAAAAAAATATATATATAGAACTCTGAAATAATGTTTTTGAATTTACCTATATTCTCGGAAGTTATCATGAAAGCATATTTCTGTCACTTTCTAACAAGATAATTTATCTCAACATGCAACTAAACAAGTAACTTTGAACTATGTTTTATGTGAAATGTAAAACTTTAATGGAACAAATATAGAAGGCAAATAGTACAGAAAATCCTCATGTGCAGTTAAAAAGGAATAGTCGATTTTCAAGACAATTAGTGCAGTTGTACTAGTAAAAAAAAACATGGGATAAAATTTCCCTCTAGACAAATTAAAGACACACTGAAAAAATTCAACGCAAAAAAAAAAACAAAAAAAAACAACAAAAAAACAAAAAACAAAAAAACAAAAAACAAAAAAAAAAAAAAAAACAACAAAAAAAAAAAACAAACAAACAAAAAAACCCGATATGTTTATAAGGGAAATTGTCTGCTTCAGTCCGAGAAGTTATAACTCTTAGGGTTGTGATTTCGTAAGCTAAATGCATGACCTATTTCGATTTTCTAAAAACATTAGTATAAGATCTAGAGGATGGCTTGATGTTTCATTGTCTCAAACTAGCTTTCAGAGATACAATAAATGGCAAGGTAGATTTCTCACAGGTAACAGTTTTTTTTTACTTCTTTATTTGATCTTTGTTATTTGAAAGACGTTTCTAAAAAGAATGTTAAAAATTGAAGAGAACAGAATGATACTGCTTCACGCGCATTCATTTGTTTTGTGAAATCTTACAGTTAAATAACTGTCAATTTAAATACGTTTTTAAGTTGATAATCATCGTGGATTACTACTGCTAATTGATGATAAAATGATTTGGGTCAAGTCAAATGGAGTAAACTGCATTTCTTTATCAGCCTTTTCCTGTTGCTGCTGCTTAAACTTTAAGCGTAAAAGCGATGAAATTTTAAAAAAAAATGTTTTATTCACTGTAGTATAAGACATTAATTACAAACGAGTACATATTTTTATGTTTGGGGACCGTTATGTATGAGTACAGGTGGGCTTTTGCATAAATCAACATATATATTCTATTTTTGATACCGCATATTTTAGATGATGTTAATATGTTTTCTTTATGTCGTAAAAGCTTCGCAAAACATTTTTCCTAAAAATAGTTTATTATATCTATCCATGATTCTAGTCTACTTTTTGCAAAGCATAAAATAAAAATTCTAAAATTGTGTTTTGATTCAATATTTATTATAAAATATATTTAAGAGTTTTAAAAGATTTTGCCAACATGCATTCAATATGACAATTCTAATCCACTCATTTGTTCTTTTCGCTTCAGTATAACGTCAGTGACGTCATAGACGTAGTATTTGAATTCTCAGTGTAGCAAGATCAAGTAATAATTAGTTACACCCATTTTTATTTATCAGATCTATTTCATAATAAACAGGTCACAGTCTTTGTATCGTGATGTATTTCTGAAGCAGATCTTTTTTTCAATTAATATTTTTTACTTGTTTAGTAGCATAGATTCTCCGTATTTAGATAATTTTGCTTGTTTAAGTTTCCGTGTGACGTTGATTCCCCGTGCTCGGAAAATGTGAACGTGAAGCGTTTTTATCATATTAAGGTCTTATTCATATTATTTAGTTATTTAGCTCGAAGCTGACATAAATCGGTATCAAGTTTAAGGTCTTATCCAATGGGGTTAATTATGGAAATGTACAGTAAGGAGATTGTGTACTTCAAATTTAAACAGTGCCACAGGTAGGACAATTTGTTTCGTGCACCTGAAGACAAATACATGTGTGTCTATTTTTGGCTTGCAATTAATTAAAAAAGAATATTTATTTAAACAATATTTATTTACAGATCTATAAGTAAATAGGATTGGGCAGCAGACTTAGCATATTTCAGCCCTTTTCCCATAAAAAAGAATATTATACGAAGCCCAAGAGTGTCCAGGAAAGAAATCGTTGCATCTGGAAACAGCAGTACACAGTATATTTTTCCCTTTGTAGACAATAAAACATGCCTGTATACTTACATAATGCTCATAGTTTCATTTAAACGGTACCTATGTTAAGAAAAGGCTCCACAAGAATTGTTTATTCCTTTATATTCCAAACTTCCAAATCTTGATAAAGAAGCGTTGTGCGCTCGAGTAAATTCATTAAATTGACCTATAGGTGAAAATCGAGAACGAAATCACTGAAACATATCAAAACAAATATTTTACATAACTCAGTATCTCTATTGGGAAGGGTTCTGCATTATTTACAGGAAATCTAAACTCACGACACAGGTAATCATTATTCTTCATTATACATTCTTCATTTATTGTCTTCATTATACAATTATTCAAGTTGTTCTTAGTTCCAGCATTGTAATATCGCTTCTGTTTCAGTCGATCAGACAACTGTGATAAATCTTTATATGCATTTGAAGAAAGTACAAACAATTGTACAGCAGGTAAAATAAGTGTATAAAACTCTTATTTTTAAAAGTATTATTTTTTAAGGCGCGTGGGGAGGAGGGGATAACTTATCTTAGATGACTTTGACAGGCAAAAAAAACCCCGCACATTGTCCAACCTCGAAAATACTACTTCGGAGAAACGAGGGTGAGCAGAAGGGGTTAGGTATCGGTAGATTCCACCTTTTTTGCAACATATTTTTGTACAATACGTTCACGTTACCACATTTATCTGTACCGTTATCTGTTAACTTTAAAAAAATGGTTACAATAACGACCATTGTTTGATCTAAAAAACTCAAAACAAAATAAATCCGTTAACAGGACATAAACACGACAATTGCCGTTGGGGGACTGCAAACTTAGACTTATGCTCCGCACTGACTGTCATTGAAGGTTCTCTTTCGTACTAGTACCCGGTAACGCCTCCTGCAACACAGCAACTCGGAGTATATGGTCATATCCGAAGGACCGGTCTCCACGTTTCTTTTGAATTCAGTGTAAAAACAAAAGCCTAGCAAATGGTATGAAACATGTCAGTCAAAATACAATTATAGGTTATAATGAGAACCATAAACTTATGAAAACTTAAACCTGTAACATGAATTTAGCTCACAGTAACTTACGTCGTTTTAAAAATGAACGATCTCAGAGCATGCTCTTAGGTATCGGATTAGTATTCTCTGAGTCAACTCCATACTATGCATTTTCGTTTACAACCTTGAAAGAAATACTTTGGCAACTGGACGAGAGAATTTATTAACTGCTTTTTAAAAGAATTAAACTGAACACGACCCAAGGTAAATTCTCAATGTTATAGATCATGTAACAGACTCTCTGGAAAAACGTTACAATCTCAAAAACCTTTGAATTTAGTGTAAGTCTATGATAAATCTTTCAAGATATAAAGATCGTAAAATCTTATTCATGGATGCTTAACAATATCTTCAACTTTTTTTCTTATTTAATCTTTCAATTAATAAATCATGCTGTGATAATCCAGCATTACAAATAAGGAATCTATTTCAAAGATAACTTTAATAAGAGTTCAATGATTCTTTCTTAGAGAAAAAATTCTAGTTTAATAATAAATAATAATACAAGTATATGTACATGTATTATATACTTTATTTCAAATTGAATCGATTAATAAAATGGTGTATGGTATGCTATTGCAATAACGTTCCATGAAAGTTACTTTTTTGAAATTGGTTACAAAATGTTTAGATTTGTTTAATATGTTGTAAACCACTAAATTATATTTTTTGCAGAAAAGATGACGACAATCTCTTCAAAAACAAATCACCAGTTTGATCTAAAGTCATCGGAATTTCTTTCATCGATAGCAATATTATTGACTGTTTTCTTAATCATAAAAATAATTCTTGGTTGGAGGCACAGACCACCTGGCCCTTGGGGAATCCCGTTGTTCGGACACCTGCCTTTTCTTGGGTCAAGACCTTTGAATAAGTTCAAAGAGTATCAGGAAAAGTATGGAGATGTCTTCCTTTTACGATTTGGGTCCTGGCCAACCGTTATAATTAATGGTCTGGACACCGTAAAATCGACGCTTACTAATGACTCAGATAGTTTTGCCGCACGACCGCCATTATTTTCAATCAAAAGCTTGAACGACATGAAAGGTCTCACTTTTAGCAATTTTGATGAAAGATACTTGTTGCATCGTAAAATTTCGAGTAGCGTTATAAGGGAAATAGGAAGTACAAATAATTCTGAGTTAGAAGAAATAATGCAGGACGAGTCCAGCTTACTAGTGTCCAGTTTTATGGAACATAAAGGCGAACCATTCAACCCCAGAGACTTAATATACACTGCTACGGGTAGTATCATCTACCAGTTTTGTTACGGTAAAGGTAATAATATACGGGATGATCCGGCCTTCTTGAAAGTAATGAAAGACCAAGCCTTAATCTTAGAATTTCTTTCTGCTGGAAGCTATTTTGATAATCTTCCATGGCTGAAATATATCTTTCCAGGACGTTTCAAAAGGTTTTTGAATTTTATTGACAATTTTAGGAAAGCTCGAAACGAAAATGGAGCCGAGATGATAAAAACGTTTCACCCGGGTCATTCTCGCCATGCCATGGATGGTCTCTTAAACGCTTGCTTGAAGTACACAATAACAGAAACTCCAAACAAAGTAGGATTGACCAAGAGTCAGCTGGTTGACACACTTCAAGACTTTTTTGCAGCTGGATTTGAGACGACCGCTACTACTTTAAGATGGATTTTCTTATATCTTGCTGAATATCAAGATACTCAGATAAAAATACAAAAAGAAATAGACGAAAAAATTGGAAGAAACAAAATCATATCTGTGAAGGATCGTCGCAATTTACCATATACTGAGGCAGTCATTTTGGAGATCATGAGAATAGCACCAGTTGTTCCCTTGGGATTGCCTCATCTTACAACTACCGACGTAATTGTAAACAATAATAAGATAGAAAGAGAAACAGTTGTCTTCTTTAACATTTTCTCGGCTATGCACGATGATTACTGGGGTAATCCTTCTGAGTTCCAACCTGATCGATTTCTGGATGAAGATGGAAATCTGATAAAAGAAAAAGTTGACAATGTACTGGCATTTAGCGCAGGACGACGTGTATGTATCGGCAAAATGATAGCACAAGCTGAGTTGTTTTACCTGGTGACTACTTTACTTCAAAATTGTAAGATTTACAAACCTAAAAATGAGAAATACGATCTTGAAGGTGAACAGGGTTCGAGTTACTCTCCAAAAGGATATAAAATATGCGTGGAAGCCAGATAAGTTATTCGTGTCGATTTCTACGATAGCGCAACTCAGGAAAGAACATCTCATGTACAAGTTTTAGTCAAAATACTGTTTTAAAGAATTCATGGATATCATATCATCTCTTTCATAATTTAATCAAAAATGTTCGTGATCAATTATCTTAGTGATAAGGAATTAACGTTTACTTAATTACACGCCTAAGTTTTGTGTATTTTTTTTATGAATTATAAAATAAATGTTATCTGATCCTTATGTATAGTACATGTATACGTTTCCTTGATATGCCATATATATCTAGTTGGATGGGATGGTCGAACTGGAATATATGTATGATGTAATGCTGTTGATGCTGTTCTCAGGATATAAACCACACAGAAATGAGTATAAAATATTGATAAGAGTTTTGTTTTTTATTGAAAACAACAGAATCAGGTATCATTTACGACCTGTGTCGTGCTATTTTTCTATATATTTTTTAAATTAGAAAAACACCGTAATTTATTTGATGTTCCCTTATCTAAAAACTTAAAATTGCAGATAGACGTTATTAAGGTCTGTGTAAAATTATGGGCACACACATATTGAAAATTTTATATCTTTTATGTGCAATAATTTGAAATCAAAGTTTGAAAAGAAATTTTGGTCCTTATAACACTATAACACATGACAATTCAAATTTATAGAATAAATTAGAGTTTTGAAATTTTAAAGGTGCATGGACACAGATTTGAAGTTAATATTTTTTTAATAATATTACGACTTATGTATTTTACTAGCATTTCACACAAAAATATATTTAAAATCTTATTTCATCTAAAATTTAAGAAAACTTCAAGTTTCAGATGGGTTTGATTGACACATCCTTGCACTTTCACAAATTTTGATTTTATTCTTAATACATAGGGGAAGTGGCAATCTTGTTGTGTATAAATAAAAAAAATAGTAAAACTATAATCCAGAAAATTCAGAGTAGAAATGTTTGAAAGCAAAACATACACACAAAATATAGTCAGTCCGTGCAATTGTTGTGAGAAGACTTTAACAATGGAACGCACCCGGTGAATCGTAAATATCAACAATAACAGAGCTCGTGTCCTGTTTACAAAAACTGTGTACGTTTCACGGGTGTGATCAATTCGCTAAACATTGTACACAACACTTAGCGCGGAATGAAGACACTTTTAGAGGGGTATTGCTTTTTAACATTTCTACTCTGAATATAATTAATTTCTGGATTAAAGTTTTAATATTTTTCATTAATACACAACAAGATTGACACTTTTTCTAAGTATAAAGAATAGAAGTAAAATTTGTTAGGGAGCAAGGATGTGTCAATCAAACCCATCCAAAAATTTGAAGTTCTAATAACTTTAAGAAGAAATATTTTTTTTATATATATTTCTGTGAGAAATGCTAATAAAATATATAAGTCGTGATATTATACCGAAAACCTTTACTTCAAATCTGTGTCCATGCACCTTTAATACATTAGTTCAAATTTCTGAATTCCGAAAGCTCAAACTGATTTCAGATATAAAACGTTAAAGTTTTAGCTCGATAACGTTAACTTTTAAATTCTCAGACAGGTTTTAAAGTTTCGAATTTTTATGTTTTTACCTAAAATAGTCGCAATTATATTTTTCAAAAACGATTTTGATACTCTAAACTTTTGAATGTTAAAACTATCGTTAGTTCAGATGGTTTACACTTGACAATCTAAAATTCTGTACCGTTTAACGTCTTTTGATATTTTAAAATTTGCTTCGAACCTCTAAATTTCAACTTTTAAAATGTTTTAGGTTTTAAAATTTAGAATTTTGATATATGCATTCAAAAAAAAACAAAACAAAAAAAAAAAAAAAAAAAAAAAACAACAACAACAACAAAAAACACATACCATTAGTTTTTTTTTTTTAATAGAATTTTACTTCAAATATCCAGAATATAATTTGTCAAACCTGATTCTATTTCTGTATCAAATTGATATTCTAAATATCTGAAAAATATTTTGCTAGCAAAAAGCGATTTCGATATAGTTTCAAAATTCAAACCGGGTTTGGAATTTGATATTAAGGATATCAAAATATAATTGTTCTTGGGTTAATCAAAATATGAGTGTTTAAATCAAATTTCTCGATTTCTAAAAATCTAAAACATTTTGGAAGTTGAAATTTAGAAAATTGAAGTAAATCTAAAGAAAAATCAAAATATAGGAAAATGAATCTGAATTTTAGATTGGTAAGCGTAAACTTTCTGAACAGACATAAAATAAAAACTAAAGTTTAAAATGCCAAAATTGGTTTTTGAAAAATCAATTTTGAATATTCAAGGGAAAAAAAAATCTAAAAACTCGAAATTTTAAACCTGTTTGGATATTTGTAATTTTAGGCTTTTCAAGTGAAATACAAAATTTATGATATATTAAATTGGTGGAAAATTTTAAGTTTCGGAATATAAAGTAATATTTAAAATTTTTAATCTCTAAATCATTTTAGAAAATAGATGAAAAATAGAAGCCAAAGAGAATAAAAAAAAACAAATTGATAGTATATGGCCAGTTGAAATAATAATGCTTGTTTGTTCTTTGTTCAATGGTCCTATAGTCGATACAATGACCTTGTCAGCAAATACAATTTATCATTGAGTCAAATGCTGACTGACATTTTCAAACTAATTGTTAGTCCATTATTTATACACTGAATTGAATTGACGACGTAATTTCGCGATCATGACAAGGAGCACACGGCTTGTGACCGGTCGACAAGGGATGCCTTCTTCTCCATGGCTCCTGATCCTACCTCTGATGTTTTGGAGGTCCGTGTTTGTTCTGTTCTTACTATGCATTGTTTGATGGACTTTTGATCTTGAATAATATTCGTTATCTCCATTTGTTTCATTCAACGTTTCATTTGGGAATTTTCACTCATGTCGAGAAACCACCGATAGAGGCTGCAAATCAAGACCTATTCCCAGCACTCTGAGTCATTGAGCAGTAAAGAATCGTTTTCGTTGCTGCATCTACTTCAACATAGAAAATCAATTTATGAGATTTCACCGGATTGGTCTCAATGTACCACAGTTGGGAGAAAATACTGTAATATCCACTTAGCATGGATATAATGGAACAATATCCTAAACCTGAACATTGTTATGTTTCATCAGAATTTTCGGCTAACTCAAGAAATCTTTGAAGTTTGAAAAATGGGCCTAGTGCCATTGACAAGATTTCAACTGAGTCTGTTTATCACAGAATCTGTGAACAAAGGAGTTATTGTCCTTGTAATATGAAATTTATCTATCTACATTCTTATTAATGTCTATTAAAACGATGAGTATTTTGTTGGCAAGGACATTTTATATCTTTTACACGATAAAATTAAAATTAAAATAATAATGACTGCTGTGGGGATCTTTTGTCATTTTTATATAAAAATTCCTTCACACCAGACATTTTGCGTCGATAGGGGTCTGTTGATTCCCCCTCATGTCATTTCATCCTACTTTCAATCCCATCCCCTACTTTCCCCCAACCTTGATACTAATTGAAATTGAAAATATTATATTAATTCAAAGACCCGTAGCCCCATTTCTCCTTTTGTTAATTATTTATAGTCGATTTGGAAGTAAACGAAACTTGAGATGAAAAATTCCCACTGGTGAAATAAGGAGGCACTGAAAAAAATACAAAACAGAAAAAAGCCTGCATAAGTCTGAGAAGCTGTTCCTCTTAGGGTTGTGATTTCGTAGACTATATGCATAACCTATTCTGATGTTATAAAAACATTACTATAAGATCTAGAAGATGGCTTGATGTTTCATTGTCTTAAACTAGCTTTCATAGAGATACAATCAGGGTAAATTTTTCCCAGACAAGAGTGCTTCATTTCTACATATGATCTATGTTATTTGAAAGACGTTTAAGGAATTTCTAAAAATAATGTTAAAAATTGAAGAGAAGAGAATGATATTGCATCACGAACATTTATTTGTATTGTGAAATCTAAAAGTTAATTGTCAATTTAAATACTTTTTTTTACAGCGATAATCATCGTGGATTACTACCTCTGTATGAGGATGAATTTGCTTGGGTCATTTATTTACAATTCAAATAAATTATATTGCATTTCTTTATCAACCTTTCCCTGTTGCTGCTACGGGATGAGTATCCCATGCACAACATGCACAACCGCGCCTGAAACAAAATTTTTCCTCTATAAGCGTAAAAGTGGTAAAAAGTTTTTTTTAAAAATATTTCAATCACAGTGATGTAAGTCGTCACTAATCGAGTACATATTGGTATGTTAGAAAACCATTATATATGAGTACACATGCCTTAGCATAAATTAACCGGGAACATGCTGAACTTATGTTTACTATTGTACATATTTTAGATAATTTTGGTAATTTTCCTTCATTTCGTGAAAACTTTTATTTGCAATAATATTTTATTTGATATCATACAATCTTATTTTTATGAATTTCAGAGCAAGCTTGTTATCTTAATGAAGCTCAGAGTAAAGTGTGTTAACTATACAATGGAGAATTTAGCGATGGAGGGTGTCTGTGTGTTACAGATGTACATAAATGTAGTAAGCCGTATTTATAAATACCGCTATGGTAAGAAAAGCTTACCCTTGGAAATAATTTATGCCTTTTCAGAACTAAAATAAAGTGATGATTTGTTACCATTTCTAAATTTACATTTACTAGCATCCGTTTTCCAAATTATATATGCATACATTTTAAAATTTAACACATTTATTCATGCATGGAAACGATTGCCTCACAGGCCTTTTTTAATGGAGCATAAAGTTAAAGACTTACGAAACGCTAACGTTCTGTTGCATCACATTTCTTATACATGAAATACATGATGAAAATATATGGGTTATTTCATAATGATTCTCATATTAAATGGACATTTTTGTTCTTTCAGATAGAACATGAATTTATTGGCAACCATTTCATCACTGAAACATAACTTAGGTACACTTATGTTCCTTGCAATGTCTATGATAGTGTTGGTCATCACAAAAATCTTAATAAAAAATCAACATCAATTCCGGGACAATGGGGTTTTCCATTGTTTGGACACCAGCTTTTCGTAGAAAAGGATCCCGTAAATTAATTTTAGTGTTACAGAACAATATGGCGACTTTAACAAAATGAATCTCTCTGTTTGTCCAATAAGTGTGTAATAATGTTTGGCCAATAAATGGAGTAATATGTGGCTTTGATACTGTAAGAAAAGTTCTAAGTGAACAGCCTGACAGTTTTGCTGCCGAACAGGAATTTCATTCCTTAAAACATATAATTAGGAAGAGGGATATTTGGCTATTTTAATCAAAGATATTTTTCTACCTTGCAAAGTATGGAGTTCTGTTGTTAGAGAATTCGCTTTGAAACAAAACAATCAAACTGAAGAAATTCTTCAAGAGGAAGCCAAGAGAATAGCAAGTGAGTTCGTCAAAAGAAAAAAAAGAGGAAAGAGGAAAACCTTTCAATCCGTACAAAGCCATTATGGAAGCAACAGGAAGCAGCTTTATATATCAATTTTGCTATGGCAAAGTAGAAAATATAGGGAAAGATAAAGATTATGTTCTATTTATTCAGAATCAAAAGGCTTTCAAAGAAATCGCAAAAGCGGGAAACCCCACGGATGTTCTTCCTTGGACACGGTTCTTTTTCCGAGAAAGGCTCCAAAACTTTTATAAATTAACCAAAGAGGGCAAAGAAGCTCGTGAAAAGAAAATCAATGACATATCGAAAACATTTGATCCAAAACATTTGCGCCATGCTGTAGATAGTTTGATATCAAATAAAATAAAAAATGGGTTAAGCGATGAACCAAACAAAGCTGAAGTAATGAAAGTGGACGTTTTGGGTGTTACTGGGGATTTTTTCGGTACAGCAGCGACAACCCTTCTTTGGCTATTTCTATACATGGTAGAATATCCAGAGATTCAATTGAAAATCCAGCAAGAGATCGAAGACAATATTGGAGGTAGTGGTATAATTACCACAAAACACGGAGAAGCTATGCCTTTTACTGAGGCTACAATCTATGAGAGAATGCGTCTATCAGGTGTTGTTCCAATGGGACTTCCACACTATACAACGGAGGACGTCTGAGTTATGGACCATACTATAAGTAAGGGAGCATTAGTCTTTTTCAGTCATTACTCTGTAGGTCACGACGAACAATGGGAGAATGCTTCCAAATTCGATCCCGAGAGATTCCTTGACCAAGAAGGGAAACTGCTTATAGACAAAACAGAAAACGTTTTAGCTTTCAGTGCTGGGAGAAGGCGATGTCTGGGTAAGGTTCTATAGCTTATTTCTTCTCTTTGCCACGGTTCTTTTGAAATGTGATATTAAAAAGCCAGATAATGCAAAATACAATTTTGAAGGACTATTTAGTCAGACTTACTCCCCAAAGCCCCATAACATCAGTGTCGTCTCAAGAGAATTTTAAGTTGATCTGCATCTGTACTATAAAAGGGAAAAGTGTGTTGCTATCAAAGTGAGTTATATATATTTGTACTATATGTGCCATTTTTATTTAGTTTCATTTTTTTTGTATGTAACGACGCTTTCAGAGTATAACATGATGAATCTGGTATATTCATTGACAATTTCCATTTGTGTATTTGCCAGGTACCTTTCATTTTAAGAGACATAATATTTGCTTTTTAATTAATACATGGTTTGCTTTGAATATTTCGGATTATTCAAATATTAATTTAATTGTTCTCAAAATATCTTTCGTTATTATTTTTTCCGGTGATGGTCGGGGAGGAGATTTTTTCATATAATTTTAGTAGACTGGTATCAATTTTAACTTGAAATCTAGAGATAACTCTATTTTTAAGAAATAAGCAATAAATCCCTACTGGTAACAATATTGTATCTAATCAAATTGAATAAGCAATACGCCCGTACTTATACCATTTTTTTTATCTTTCCTCAATATAATTCGAAAACAAATATGCTCATGATCAATAATCTTAACAAGGAATTAAGATTTATGATATATTTTTCCTAGAAATAAAACATTTCTGATTGGATGGAATGGTCTTACTGGTATATATGTTTGATGCAATGCTACTGTTCTCAGGATAAAATGCACACAATAATTATGTTCCCCAAACGAAGTTGGGGAACATATTGTTTTTACTCTGTTTCTTATTATTATTATTATTAGGTCTTTCCACCTTTCTGTGGAAAGACCTATTGAAATTGTTCTGTTTATTATTATTATTTTTCCGCCAAACGTGTTTTTGAGTTTCAAGATTTATCGAAAAGATTTATAGACCATAAGAATGTACTTTGTAAATGATTTTCGCAGTTGACCCTGCGTATATGAACTTTGACCCTTAAAGGAGTTATTGCCCCTTTTGCAAGAAATGCTTGTTATCCCTACTCCTCCAAAACCGTAAACCGTAGAGGTTTGAAACCTTTACCAATGTCTGCGACTACTTGGGAGGACCTTCGGATCTATTCATTGCGAAAGGATTCGTAGACCTCTACTATGAGTTATTGCCCCTGAAAGTTTTTGAATTTTACAAATAATGAAAAAAATTTAAAACGAGAAGTCGTAGAGACATGGGACCAACTGCGTAAGATTCATTGACCCTTGTCCTTAAAATTTATGCAAAGGTCAAAGGTCAAGGTCATTCCAAAAATGAGAAATGAAGGTCTTTTTATATCTCTTTTGCTGTTCAACATATACTTAAAGTCTTTGCAACATTAATATGCCCTCTTAAAACTATTTGAAAGATTTCATTCTTGTCCCCTAACATTAACCCTTTTAAAAGTTATTGCCCCTTACGCAAGAAATGCTTGTTATCGCTACTCCTCCGAAACTGTAAACCGCAGAGGTTTGAAGCCTTTACCAATGTCTGTGACTGCTTGAGAGGACCTTCGGATCTATTCATTGCGAAAGGATTCGTAGACCCCTTCTATGAATTATTGCCCCTGAAATTTTTGAATTTTACAAATAATTAAAAATTTTCAAAACGACAAGTCATAAATACATGGGACCAAGTGCATAAGATTCAGTTACCTTTGACCTTCAAATTTATGCAAAGGTCAAAGGTCAAGGTCACTCCAAAAATGAGAAATGAAGGTCTTTTTATATCTCTTTTGTCTTTTAACACATACAATCAGTCTTTGCATCTTTCATATATACTCTTAAATCTATTTCAAAGATTTCACTCTTGTCCCCTAAGATTGACCCTATCAAAAGTTATTGCCCCTTATGAGAAAAACATTGTTATTGCTACTACTTCAAAACCGTAGACCGTAGAGGCATGAAACCTTCAATAATGTCTTAAGGGTCTTTAGGCACACCTTCATTGTATAACTACTAAAGGATCTAATGACTCCTTATATGAGTTATTGCCCTTTAACTTCTTTGCACTTAATATTTAACCTTCTAACTATAGAACTAAAAGTCGTAGAGGCATGGGGTCAATTGCAATGTGACCCTTGACCTTTGACCTTGAAGATTTGATCAAGGTCAAAGGTCAAGGTCAATTAATTTTTTTTATTTTCACTATCTTTCAAGCCATTTTCCTTAAAAATTAAATTTAGAGAGTAAAATAAAAAACTATAAGAAATTTAAAAATGTGGAAAGACCTCTTATTGTTCTGTGAACAATAAGTCTCCTAGTTATGTTCCCCAAACGAAGTTGGGGACCATATTGTTTTTACTCTGTTTCTTATTATTATTATTCTTCTTCTTCTTCCTGGGTACTTTTTTGTCCGGGAGTGATCTTGTAAACTGTTCATCCGATGTAGGTAAAACCTTTTTAGGGTCAGTAGACATGTTATGTAGATTTGTGGAATCAAGGTCATTTTGCGCGCACGTGCTTGCAAGAGCGTGCGCGTGCAACGCGTAAAATGACCAATATAATAGATATAGCCGTAACTTTTTTATTTTTTTATGAAATGCTTTGAAACTCATAATTTGATTATTTATTAGTAGTATAGACATGATGACATGGTCAAAATAGCAAGATCTCACGCGCATGCACGTGCGCTTTGCTCTGATTGGCTGAAACTAAAGTCTCTATATCTTTCTTGTTTTTCGACGAAATCCTATGAAATTTTGAACATAGCCATGCCTTAATATATCCTACAACATGATATATAGCATTTGTCATAAAATCACGTGCATGCACGTGCGCTACAATCTGATTGGCTTAAACTTTAAATAGCTATAACTCCCTTGGTTTTCAACCAAACAGGATGGGATTTGGAACATAGATAGATATAATAAACTTCTACAACATGATATGGTCGCCATTCACATGCATACACGTGCGTGTACTTGCGCCGTAATCTGATTGGCTGAAACTTTAAACAGCTATAACTGCTTTGGTTTTCAACCAAACGGAGTGGGATTTAGAACATAGATAGATGTTATGGACTTCTACAAGAAGATATGGACACCATGCTCATGTATGCACGTTCGTGCACGTGAAATGAGTTAAATCAAAAATACACTTGAATTAGCGTATTTTTGAATACTTTTGGATTAAATACTTTAATATTTAGTATATTAAAAATGTATAGATTGTGTAGACAAAATGATATGGTCATTACGCACATGCATTCACATGCGCACGCGTGCAATGCTAAAATTTGAATGAACTTGGCGTTGTTAAAGTCTCAAATGGATAGATTTTGTCCTATTTAATGAAGCTTACAGGGAATATGGCACCAAAAGGGAGTAGGGGAGCGTTTGGGGAACATCTGTAACGGTCCCCCGTTACAATTAGCACTAGTTAGGGTCTTCCGTCTCCAGCGGAAGACCCTTCTATTATTCTATTGTTTCTTTTTCACTTTTATTATTATTATTTTTTTCTTTACACATTTTTGTGCAGACGATTTCTCAGAGATGCTTGGGTGGATTGACTTGAAATATTCAGAAAAGATGTATCATGAACTAAACCTTATTCATTTTTTTTATATTTTTCTAAAAATCACTTCCGGTCGGAAGTTATCGCCCTTTAATCGAATTTTAGTGACCATTTTGTCCGGACAAAAACTCAAAAACGACAAAAGCTAGAATGTTGTCCTTTTCAGGACTAATAGAAGACATAATGTAGTTTTGCACCTGTACTTTCAAATCTTCCGAAAGTGCCTAGTATGGAAGCTCGGTAGGGGTCGAAATCTAGGACACGAATTATGAGTGATTTTTTGAGACATTTTGCATCATATCTCTTAAAATATAAATATTTTGTGAAAACATACGGAACAATATTTGTGAAGAATGACAAGATCTTTCATACGATATCAAGAAAAAAGTGCTGACTCATCACACTAGGGGCCAAGAGGGGCCAACAGTCTTTAATCGATAACTCTTTATCAGTCAATATTTTGTTATACATTTCTGAAGCAAAAATGTTTATCTCGACATTTTACAGCTATATATTATGATTTTAATGTCGTATAATACATGATTAGGGGCCAAAAGGGGCCAGAATGCTAAATCTTTGACGATTTATATCTCAAAAGTGAGAAATATTTTGATAAGTAATATTGAACAAAAGATGTTCAAAATAATGTTTTAAACAATATGCAACCTTTCATTTTTCGCTTAACGTCCCCGTTAAGGAGTTGAAGGGTTGGCCTCTAAATATTTCTTTTGCAAATAACTCGAAAACGAAAAAGAATCTCTGAATAGTTGTTGAACAAAAAGTGTTCAAAATTATAAGAGCTTTAAGACGAAATCAAGAAAAAGGGGCTGGGCACTCAAATTTGGGGCAAAAAGGGGCCAAAAGTTTTCAATCAATAACTCTTTATCAGTTAATATTTTGTAATACATTACTGAAGCAAAGATGTTTATCTCAACAATCTACAACTTTATATTATGATTTTTATGTCGTATGTTACATAATTAGGGGCTACAAGGGGCCAGAATGCTAAATCTTTGACACTTTATATCTCGAAAGGGAAAAATATTTTGATAAGCAATATTGAACAAAAGATGTTCAAAAAAATGTTCTAAACAATATGCAACCTTTCATTTTTTGCTAAACGTCCTCATTAAGGAGTTGAAGGGTCGGCCCCTAAATATTTCTTTTGCTAATAGCTCAAAAACGAAAAAGAATTTCTGAAAAGTTG